TTTTCTTTCCCCCATAGGTTTATCGAACTCTTTAATCGTTTCGGTGATCCATTTATTTTTCGTTTGAATACTCAAGATGTTTGTGTGTTTCACTAAGTCTGTCATGGTGGGTTCTTTGACGGGCATAATACTATTGACATATGATGTTTTCGTTTTCGGTTTAGTAATCTTTGGGTGATTCACTTCGTCTCCAATATATCTTGAAAGTGCATCAGGAACGCTATTTTCTTTCCCTGGTCTATATTGGATGTCAACATCATATTCTTGAATAATGAGTTGGAATTTTGCAAGTCTACCGATTAGATCTCGTCTTTTCATGAGACTGGTTAATGGTCTATGATCTGTTATGATAGTTGTTTTTGTTCCCAAGACATAGGTTCGAAATTGTTGTAAGGCGAATACAATGCCTAAAGCTTCAATTTCGATAGGTGGATACCTACGCTCCGGTCCTACGAGCTTTCGTGATGCGAAAGCTACGGGATACGGATGAGAATTATCCGAGTGTTCCTGTAGAAGAACACAACCTAACGCTATGTTACTGGCATCACTTTCAATGAAGAAAGGTCTATCACCGAATGGTGGTTTAAGAACTGGGGCTGTGGTGAGGATCAATTTAAGTTGATCGACACACTGTTGGTGACAGTCTTCCCAGCACCACTTGATTTTCCCTTTTAAAAGATCATAGAGAGGTGCAGATATTTCAGCGTATTTCTTAATGAATCGACGGAAGTAATTTGTCATGCCCAGAAATGAACGAAGTGCGTTCACATCTTTCGGTACTGGAAAGTTGTTAATGACTTCAACTTTCTTTGGGTCGGTTTTTACGCCTTCCCTACCGATTATGATACCAAGGAATTTAACTTCCTTACTAGCAAACGTACATTTCGAGAGTTTTATCTTCAACCCAAACTTAGCTATGATTGCCAATACTTCTTCAATGTCTCGAAGATGTTTTTCTCTACTTTCCGAAATGATGAGTAAGTCATCAAGGTATACGAAGAGTTTACATTTGACTTGAGATTGAAGGAAGCGTACTGCAGTTTGGAATGTATGGGGTGCTCCACAGAGACCCATTGGCATTCTACAGTACTGATAGACACCTGAAGGTGTTACAAATGCAGTAAGATGTCTGTCTTTCTTATTTAAAGGTATCTGGAAAAATCCAGACACTAAGTCAAATGTTGTGAAGAACTTGGCTCCTGCAGCCAAAGATATGATGTCATAGATGTTAGGGATGATATATGTTTGTTTCCTTGTCATCGTGTTTAATGCCCTGAAGTCAGTGACAAAGCGAAATGTGTCGTCTTTCTTTTTAACGAGGACAACAGGACTGGTAAAAAGGGATGTGGATGGCTCCACAATACCTTGGTCCAACATTTCTCTTACTTGTCTCTCGACTTCATCTTGCTTTCCCAACGGAATAGGATAGGACCTAGGCCTTGGAAAATCCATATCCGTTCTCAACGGAATGGAATGTTCGATTGGCCCTTTAAAGAGGCCTATCTTTCTATCCTCATTAAGGAAGGCATCTTTATTATTATGAATAATGTCCCGTAGCTGGTCTTTTTGAGTGTTATTTAGATCACTCCCTTCCAGTTTTAAGTCGTTCATGAATGCTCTTGGAAAAGTTGGTAATCTACTTTCCCAGTCTGCTTCTGGAGGAACATAGTCGGCATCTTGGACTAGTTCTTCCCGCTCAATGGGCACTACAATTGATGCCACTGCCAACACATCACGATGATTGACAACTAGTGGTCGTGATGTTTTGTTAAAGAGTTTGACAGTTATAGGAGCGTTTGAACGAAAAATGGTAGTAGGATATGAAATATTACCCTTATTTGGCTTCTTTTGGAACATGTATGCATATTCACCATTGTCAAGGTATTTATCCATCTCTAACTCAACTTCTTGAGTTGTACAAGGTCCAATCGTGCAAGTCTGTACTGGTCTCAACGGAGTTGACTTTCCAGTAGCATGAAAGATTGCTTCGTTTGGACTTACGAGAGGAATGATGGTTTTTCCTACGATCAATGATTTCAAACTGGGTTTCAATGTTACTGAATGACCCATTTGATCGAGTAAATGCATAAAGTCCATGCCAAGAAGCGCATGGGCGGGACAGTCTTTATCACGAATGACATGAAAAACATGGTCGACTGTGATATCTCCGATGATTACCGGTAACTCAATAGTACCGATGAATGTCATGGATGAACCATTGGCAGTCATCGCCACCTTCTTTTCTGGGTGGATCTCAGAATGACGTACTAAGAGCTGGTCTCGGAGGACTGAGTATTGAATGATGGAAATAGAAGCTCCAGAGTCCCACAATGCTTTAATCGCTTTTTGGTATATGTTGATTAAAACGAATGGAAGACTATGGTTCTCATCATTAACCGCGCAAACTAGAGGAATTGCCAAAGGAATGAAATTAATGATGTTAGGATATTTTAATGCCAGAATATGTGCTGGAACTGGTTGATGGATGTTATTGTCAGCGGTTGGTTCAGCGGTAGTAAGAGGGTAAACTTCGCTGTCATATGGTAAAATGGCATTAACCTGAGACATGTTAAGTGGTGTCATGTATCGTACTTTTATTATGAACACCGCTACAGCGATTGCTACCGCGAAAACTGTCACGCCGCCAATAGTCATCAATCCACGCTCAATAGTTCCTACAAAGAACTCTTTCGTGGATTCCCATACCGACTGTGTCGCATTCATGGCTTTTGCTGCTAAAGCTTCGCCAGTTTTAAAGACTGCTAACAGTGGTAATTGATGATTAGAATCACTTATGATCTGTAGCATTTGGAATTGTGGCATCCCAAGAGTTGCGGAATGAGAAAGTGCTAGACTAATCAAATAGTCTTCAGAAGAGAAGTTACCATAATAGTCGTCATCGAATCGAATCTGTGGAAGATTCACATCTTCGATGGCTTTATGGTCTTTATTTAGTGATGATACCTGAATTTTCCCTTTTTCATTACGCCATTCCCCATTTTCATACCATACGTTAGGAATAACTCTACCACAGTCTATCTTAATACCGGATTGTTGTAGGTCGAGTGATCCAGGAAAAGCAAAGTACAGCTTTCCTGTTTT